AAAAAAAAAAAAAAAAAACGCTTCATACCCCAAAAGCCTAAACTCTAAAACTACATGGATCCATTCCTAGGTTACTAGGAAACACGCGCAAGGGACACCAGGTTGAAAGATCGAATGCTCGAACTGAGCTTTCTCAAGGCCCAGAAAGCTGTTGATGTGATGGATCAGGGTGGCCTGCTGGGTGGACAGAATCAAAGCACCATCTCCCGAGCATACGCGGGACACCAAGCTTGTGTCTGCCAAGTCCAGGTACCTGAGCACCACCAGACTTTCTGTCTCCAAGAAGGAATTCCGGGAGCCTAGGGATGCGGAGGGACTATAACGGGGCTGTAGAGGTCCGACATTTGGAGCCAACAAAGAGCGTCGATTTCTTGAAGAACTTCTTAATGCCCTTACCCTAAGCACAACCCAAAGCCTTCCCCGAGTTACTTGTAGTCATGGGCCACACTTGTCCGCCAGATCTTAGCACTTTCCACGCGCGTCTCAAACGACTCACCGATGAAGGCATCAGTCAGAAGGACCCAGGAAAAAGCAGCCTGCATCAAGAGGCATGTCGCAAATCCCTTAATCTTGGGGCTTCCCCAAACCCTCAGTGGGGGATGACAGTTTACTCAAAAACCTGAGGGCTCCTCAACAGGCTTGGATGCCTGCATGCCGAAGTTTAAAAGGATCAGAAGGCCAGCGAACAATCTGTCGAAAAGGCCCACATCGATATCAACGATGGCGGCTAGAATGGGGATGCTCCATGCCTCAAGGCAGGTATTGCCGGACGGAAAACAAAGCGGCCCTGCCACACTTGAGAGACACAAGCACCACTCGAAAACGACGACTGCAAACCCTACAAAAGAAACCAGAAACTTGGAAGAACAAAAAACATGCGTCTTCCTGCTTCCTTCCTTCATGTTTTTGGCCTTGACTACATAACCTCCGTACTTTTCACATGCATATCCTTATATAGCTGTAGTAGTATACCTCCAATCCTGGAAGATAGAAAGACTACAGCCCTCAGCCCCTCAACCCCAAACCCCTGAACCCTAAACCCCTAACCCTACGTAAACCCCTCAATCCTATATCCCCAAATCCCCAAACGCCTAGACCCTAAACCCCTAGACCCCAAACCCCTAAACCCCAAGACCCTAACCCATCCCAAACCCTAGGCTCCTCATCCCTAAACCCTTATCCCTAAACCCTTATCCCTAAATCCTTATCCCTAAATCCTAAGATGTGAATGTCAGTCCTAGCCACGCTCTCCTCGAAGTGTACCTCCGTTGATGTCTCCTTAGTTGCTGAGTTTGGCAACCCAAGCGGTTGAGGGTTTAGGGATAAGGGCTTGGGAATCATGGTTGGGATTAGGATCTTAGGGGGGGGTTGGCACCTCAAAGAGCCAAGGTAGACATGTTACAACACACTGGTAGTGTCTATGAAAATACTCATGGCGGGGTGTAAATGTGGATTATATAGCTTTCTATTCAGGGCCAAGTCCTACTTGCAACGCCCAAGGGTTTTAGGGTTTAGACACGCGCATCGCGCATGTCCGGTCCAGCACCCCAGTACAGTGACTAGGGTACAGCAACTACGGTCACAAGAGGAGACTACTCAGCAGCCCACACGAATCGAGAACTACGTCACTCAGCCCACTCACTCTCTCAGTACATGGGTTTAGGGTTCAGGTGTTAGGGTTTAGGAATGTCTCGCACGCCCTAGCGGCACTAACGACCTTAAAATCACACATGCAGATGAAGCGCGTGGTGGCCATGGCAGTTTCGAAGCATGATGGACCCCAAAGGTATAGCGTGCGATTGCATGGGGCTCTGATACCAGGCCTTCAAAAAAAGGGAACACGTAGGTGAAGGCCTCTGGGAAATGAGCTGGTCATAGCTTTAATTTCTTTGCACCTGGTTTCGGATGATCTTGTGCAACCCTAACTCTACTTGAAAGCCAGATAATTCTACTTATCTTCAATCTGACAGGCTTTACGTAGGCTACCCCAATTGGACTAAGTCCCATGGACCTCCAGCTACATTGTGCAAGAGTGCGGGGCCCAAACTTTACCTGTAGTGACCACCAGCCCATCATAGCTAGGGTGGTACTACATTAGGCTTCGGGATTGACTACATTCTAAGCATACGACTTTCACAGGGTTGGGCCTTATCTAACAACGGTAACCCGAACAATTATGGTCCGACTTCAACAGTCTCTCCAAACGTCAAGAAGCAGTACCAGAGCTCAGGAAAGATCTGTGGATCTTTTCATTGGGTTCGCAGAGAGGGTACGTCTGACTACGACTAAACATAGTCGATGTCTTTGATCTCCTTCTTTCTGCCCTGCAACAGGAGAAACAGCACATTACGGCATGACAAGAGTTCCATTGAAATGGGTACAAGATTGCCAAAAGCATCCTAACTTGACGCAATAACTACAGGGCTCGGCCACCATCGCACCATGGTGTCCTTGAAGCACGAGGATAAGACTCCGGGCATTGCGAGCTAAATTCTGAAAGCTTGAGCCCTCCATCCCTAACCAAGCCCTTCCATGCGACCCCCTAGGCCCTAACCCTGCACTCCTAGACCCTGAACTCAAAATTCTAAGCTCCTACTTCACAGGCCCCAGGGACTTCCTCGGTAGTCACCGTAGACATTGACCCGTAGCTGTTCTTCTTGTTGGTGTCGATACCTATGGCCTGGCGCTTATAGGCTTCAAGGTTTAGGTTTACAAAGGGTTATATAGGGATTATACAGGGGTTCTATAAGGGTCACAAAGGCCTTCTATAGGGATGCTATAGCAGTTGTAGAAGGATGCTACAAGGATTTAAGGTTTTTGTTCTAAGGTTTGCAAAAGGTTCTTCTGCTTTAGCCTTTTCCTTCGAAACGTGTTCTCCATCATAACATCAGTGGGGAACGACAGCTTATAGCGCTCCGGTGCTCTCATACGTACAGGTTAAGACTGAACCTTGAAGGCTTCTGACGTCCAGACTGCACATCTTTGGCTTTTGCTGGATGCGCACAGAGCTTGTACAAAATCATGTAGCGCTTGAAAGAATATTCACTTGCGCAGGCCGTTGTTGCTTCAGGTATTTTGTGCACTGCTGTTTACTTGCCTATTCCTCCTTCCGTACATTAGCACCGTGCATTCGCACCTGCCATACAACTGTCAGAGAGTTATGCAGAGGGTCGCCAAGGAGATCAAGCAATAGCAGCAGCCATCACCCAAAATAGTCCTTATCAAGCACAGACCCCAGACCCTTCGTCGTCAGCCCTTTCATTCAACAGGTCTGCAATCCATCCCAGAGCCATTAATTAAGAACTAAGGATTTCCTGAACTTCCGGCACTGTAATCACACTGTAATCAAGCTACTGGGCATTTTGTGTCTCATCGCCTGTTTTCAACTTGTTCTCCATAGCCTATCCCTCAGCCTGCAAAGCTAAGCCTCAAACACTTTGCTGCAAACCCTGACCCCTGAACCTGCAACTTTGACTTAAGACCCTAGCCCATAAACCCCTATAGACCTGAACCCCCAAGCACTCTACACGATCTTCCCTGGCCGATAAGCCCCACACTGTAGCCCCAAAACCTAAATTCCAACCCCCCAAGCAACCTTTACAGCCTCAACCAAAAACCTGAAACTCCAACCCCGCGGGAAGTGAAAAACTTTAAACATATGCAACATGGCTGTTGGTATGTTATACTTTCAGGTTTGCTAGAGAATAGTAACACCTGCACCTCAACAGTTGGCAAAATATTGCCCTAAATTCATGTACGAAAAACCATCAACAAGGCCAGTTTTCTACATACTCTGGGTCTCAACCCTCATCCTACACCTGGGACATGAATCCCTAAACCCGAATCCCAAAATCCTTGACCCCTAGACCCAAGCAAGTAGTAATTCAGGCTTGTAGATTCACTGTGGCGCCTTTATCGGCTCGACCTTGCGGTGCAGGCTTTTTGGCCCAAGGTTGGGAATTAGGGTTTATATACCTAGCAAGCTGGTAGCCCATACTGTACTTGCTGTCTACATTTTGAATTTTCCCTCGTTTGGGATAAGTTAATGTAGCCAATGATTTTGCGTAACCGGGTTTTCCAGGGTTTAGGGCCAACAGCTTAGGGTTTCAGGTAGGCTGGGGTTACATAGGCGCAGTCGTCAGAACTCCTTGTGTAGCACTGACCCCCGCACCCCCTTCTTCTGAGACTATGTAATGGCTTGGGAGGACCCCGCACCCTGTAATAGTGGTGTAAGAGTCATATAAGAGGACCCTCATATAGTCATGACTACAGGGTGGGGGGTCCACCTAAGTAATGGCACAATATAGGGGATGGTGATTTCTAGGAGCTGGAGGGCTTACTATTGAGGGAGAGGATTGACCCTGCGCCAGAAGTAGTTTGCGGGCCCTATGGCTTTTAAGAAGATGTGCAATGTGTGAAGATAAATCTATCGCCTTACTCATGCCTCACTTCACCTGCATCACATAACCTAAGGCTACTGGTCATAGGTATCAGCCACCTTCATAGTCCCACATGCGAGCGCTCTGAAGGTTGATGGGTATAAGAATATATGGACCATAGAGTTTAGGTTGCAGGCTTTGGGTCGGAAATGTATGGGATTTAGAGCTGCAGGTCCAGGCTATGAGCTCAAAAGAGTAGGAGTTCAAAACAGTGAGGGCGATTGGTGATCGCACTCTACCAAGACTGTAATCCTGGGGTCGTTGTATAAGCTACAGTCAATGTTTCCTACCTGGACATGGGTTCCTTGTGAGGGGCTAAATCAGGGACTATACTAAACTACAAGAGGGACCGTCATCATGTCCAGTTAAAGCTCCCTTGACAAAGCTACTGTTGACAATAGCTCATATGTCATATGCCCATGTTAGGACCCATGGTTAGGATCTTGGATAATATTTTTCGGCCGGCTCAATTCGCAGGAGCTTGGGTACATCTGGCTTGCCTGGGTTGTCTTTGGCCTGGCTGGCTTACTCTTGGGCTAGGCCCGGTCTTTTCAAAACGCTACGATGCTTAGCGGGTGTGTGTCTGATTATTTTATGCCTATGCCTCAAACATCTCCTTCCTCTAGATGAGAAACCGTGGGCCAAAAACCTTCAACCCCAACAACTAAGACAGCATGTTCAGTACAGCCTGACAGAAATCCTTCATACCTCTTGCCCCGCCATGTTATCTTCATAGGGTTCTCACCCATCACGAAAACCCTAGCCTAACTGCTTGGACCCCATCTGCCCCTTCTCCCTAAGCCGAAAAAGGATCCCTCGTTGTTGAAAGCCCCCAGCCCTGAACCTCATACATCCCTCTGATCTATTCCTATATGGGCACTTCAAATCCTGAAGGGCGAACTCATCTTTGGAAACCCTTTATGGCAGGTTGTCAGAATGCTGGCCCTAATGCTTTGAGTCCCTGATCTAAAGCAACCCCTAAAAATAGGCCACCCCAGAAAGGGACCATAATTTTAGCAACCCTAATATATCCCTTACTGGCTATGAACCCTCCGTAGACTCCCAGTTTCCATTTCAGTCTCCATGTTCTTGTCCATTTGATTCCCTACTATTGTGGTAACATGCCTGTATAATCCCTACGTACTATATTCTGGTCTGCACCCATAACGGCCCCAAAGCATTCTCGCCTCAACTGGCTCGACCTGAACACAGAACGGCTTCAGGGTTCCAAGGGCCTAAGGGGTGTTGAGGATGTTTGGGTTTTAGGGTATATTTCTTACTGCTCTGCACTCTCGGTGATTTTCGCTTCTGCCTGACTTCTTACAGCATGCAGGGAAAGCAGGGCCCTTTCGCATAACAACTCTAAAATAGCACCAGCATGCATTGACCAGCCGGTCCATCAACCAACGCGCCTATGCAATCCGGTCACCAAGCCTCCAAACTTTGGAAACCTTAAACCCTGAACCCTAACCGCTGAAACCTAAACCCTGAACCCTAAACCCAGAATCCTGAACCCCAAACCCTAGCCAAACAACTCTGAAGCATCCTGGCCTTGTTCGGCTCCACCTTTTGGCGAATGTTTGATCCGAATGGTTAAAAGAAGGTTTAAAGGGAACACATAAGGATACAGTAGGGTATGTAGATGTTATGAAGGTTTAAAGTTTAGGGTTTTGAGCTTGGCGTCATTTATCGTGCAAACAGTGATAGTTGGGCTTTAAACGACCCTTCAAGCGCATGGCTGCATGCGAAGTGCACCGTGGCTGGCCATGCAACACATTCACCCAAGCCATGCCGTCTGGCGGCCAACCCATTTTGGGGGGCAGTGGGCGGCCTATTTCTGCCTTGAGTTTAGGGTTTTGATGCTAGAAGCTGAGAACCAGTTTGCAATCAACTTGTTAGGCGAAGTCGGTCTAATTTGCCCACTTGGCTCAAGAAATAAGAGGCTCACGGTGTTCCCACCAGCTTTGCAGGGTCGGGGCTTTCAAGGTTGAAAGCTGTACCGTTTAAGGGTGAGGTGTGGAAGGCTTGAACATACTTGATATGGCTTAAGGCCAGTTCAAGGCTTCTAGGGAGTCTCTACCGGTAAGCTTTAGTGTAGCTTGATGGCAGGAGTTTGACAATCTTTTGACCTGCAAGAGCGCGTAGGGGTTGGCGGGTGGGGTGGGGGCTCATTAGACACCGTGTTTGCGTACGTATGTACCTTGCCGGGCCAGTTAAGTCTACCAACCCTACGTTGAGGGTGGGAAAATAAGAAAGGCTTTCGTCCATTAGTAGATAATCTTGAAAGGTTTATGGTGTAGATTGAAATCACCCTGAAACCTCAAACCTAAAACACGCCAAGATCTCAGATTAAAACGGCAAAGCATTTAGGTGCACTCAATCGCGCGGTTGCCTCGAAAACGAGAACAAGAGAGCTGATTCTGACAACTGATTTTCTCGTAAAATAATCACTAGGAATTCAAGGCTCAAGCATTGATTATTGAGCTACCCCTTGTAACGGACCTAGCGTGAGTGGATCATACTGGATCTCTACCCTTACATGTATGCAAACCCTCTTTAATAATAGAAACAACAGCGGAGATGCTCTGTGTTGTTTTTTTTTGATATTGCTGATGTTATTGTTTTTTTTTTTTGGTGGGGGGTGAGGGGGGGGGCACTACAATTGCAAGTGCTTACTCAAACCCTTGGTTATCACTTGAATATTTCTCATATGCCCTAGAGGTAACCAAAAGCCTGTTAGCCCTTGGTGCTGGTTTGGTCCACTCTTGCCTTTGCTGGGCAACTTAAACAAAGCTATTGCTTGCCGCGAGGAACTACAAAGCTTTCCGAAATGTGATCCATGAATAACCCTTTTCTGGATGCACTAGCTTCAGGCCCTATACCCTTAAATCTAAATTGCTGAGGGCCGAGGAGGCTGACGAACCCAGAAGTCTTGATGTGCTTGCTGGCCGGCCTATGTGTCTGACTTCTTCTAGAAAACCAAAGCGGATACCGACTTTTCGAAGCAGGCAATCCCAGAAATGGAAAGGGGGTCCCTGGGCTCAAAGGTTCAAGAACTGCTTTACCAACATACGCGGGATCCTTATGTGGTTTTGAGGCTTGTCACACAACACTTGAATTTTGCAATGTGGGCTGGAGTTATTTGCTGGAATATTCAGTTGGGGAGTTACCAGGCGGGCCCTTACATAAGCAAAAATAAACGCTTGTATGCTGAGATTTGCCGCCTGAAGTTTCCTTGGATGCATTGTTTCCCCCAGAATGGGTTCCCTGTACAAAAGCCCACCAATATTTGCACATTCACCAGCAGGACGCTTGACACCCTAAGCACAAAATGTTCCAAAGGTATTCCATGGATTCTATGGAGGGGTCCCCTGGTAGCTTTCTCTCACAAGGAAGTTTCCATGGTACCTTCGTTTGCAAAAGGTTTATACTTAGACCCCCAAATCCTGGATCCAGGCACCTGGTTGTCAACGTCCTTCTCAGGTGTCACTGCCAAACGTCGATTGCCCAGCCTGAGGTGTCCTTCCACGGCCTGAGGGTTTTCATTTATCTTGTTTCTGATCCAGATGTTGAAGGATAGCCTGCAAGAGTCTTAGGGCGCGAATGCAGAAGTCTGTGCTAAGAAGCATTCTAGTCTGGTGCGACAGCCATCAGCTACGATGGGCAAGTTAGGCCATTCTCAATCTCTCAT